GGATGCAGTAACAGGAAAGTCTTTTTAAGAGGGACTTATCTGAGAAAAAAAAATACTTGTCAGCAGTATAGCTTCACCTCAGTGATGGCTGGGAGCAAAGGAAAGAATGTCTTGCTTAGGAACCTGAGAATTTTCTATCTGTCCTTTGCATGTGGGCTGCTGCTGCAGGTGTTTGAAGGCACCATCGACATCCAGTGGGGGTGGCAGAAGCCTACAGCCAGCAGGCCCAAAGCTGTGCCCTGGTTGTGTTCATTGTGACAGTGAAGGGACACTGCTGGCTTCAACTTTTAAACCTCTTTTTTATTAAGCAAAAACCTAAATCAGAGCAAACACATTTTTTTTAGGAAAAGCTGTTGCAGAATCAAAATAGCATGAGAAAGTCTATATATTATTCTTATCAGTAGTTATTTAATGACTAAAAAATTATAAAAATACTAGATTTGTGGATTTTATAACATGATTGAAGAAAATAATCCATTAACTGGATATTCTCAATAAAAGGCAGTGTTGCATATCAAATTTGCTTTCAATTTAAGGATGCCTTTCAAGGTGGTAGCAACAAGCACTCATCAGCTCTTTCATCCACTGTTGCTAAGAATGATGTATAAATGAAAAATTTTTAACACAAGTCAAAACTGCCTGGCCACACTTAAGATTCCTGTTTTAACATGATAAATATATTCTCTAGGTACTACTTAAAATTCTCCTTAGCAAAGGTAAAAATTAAACTTCTAGAAATTTTTCATAGTGCATAACTGCAGATTTGAAATGGAGATCTGCAGAGTTAAAGGAAGCTGTGCTCATTGCATGTCATGGAAATGGCACAAAGATTTCTGTGACAGGTCTTGTTTGATGGTTCTGTGGATTTTGTGTTATTACTTCTTTGTGATGATCTTATTTCTAAGGGATACTAGAAAAATGTAAGTACAATAATATATATTGTCAAATGTAGTGACTGTTAAAAAATAGCCAATTTCAATGGCTATTAAAATTGGCTCTTTTCATAGCCAAATGGATATTATCTTTACAGGTACTGTTAATGTGTAAAGGTACAGGATCTGAACTTGTGTCAGAGCTTGTAGGAGGCATCTGTGGTGAGCTGCAGAGCTGTGAGGTATGGAGGGTACAGCTGGAGAGGGCCTTAGAGAGATGCAGGTTCCTTTTAGCTAAACAATATTTACTAGCATTGCTTCAGCTTACAGCATTGAACTAGTTAATGGGGCACATTTCCTCAGTGCTCTATAGCAAAGGTTTTGGGTATTTTTCAAAGAAAATTAATGCACTTTGCTTACCCTTTGTCAGTGGTGGTTACAAATAGAACTGCTATTTCAAGTAATAGTTATAAGCCATTATTTTAATGGTTTTACAAATACCTGGGAGGACAGACTGCAATATTTCATCTGAGAAAGGACTGAATATTAAATAAATGTAACCTCCCATTGGGTCCTGCTTTAACCTCCTACTGGTTTTGGAAGGGGAATTTAAGAGCTGAAAGCATTTTAGATTAAGTGTTAGGGGAGAGGTTCAGTAGGACTTAGACAGCAGATTAGCACTTTGTGTTCATAACAATCCTTTCCCTCTTTGCCTTATCACTTCAAACACATCTTTGCAAGATGCAGACTTTAACTTTAGTCAGGTATACAGCTGGCTTGTACTTATTTTCTAATAGTTATGGGTAATAGATTAGTCTATTGATTATTAGTATTTTTTCTTTTATTTAATGTTTTTCCATACTTCTGATATGTTGGACTGAGAACTGGGATTTTCCCATTAATTCAGAAGGCTGAACTTCTAAACACAATCCTTGAGGCTGGTACCCCAGAGAGAAAATTCTCAAGTCATGACCTGTTTTGCTTTAGAAGTTAGAAATAGTGAAGTTGTTGAAAATGTTTAACTCAGGACTAATGCAAGACTTAAATGCAAGCAGAACATTTAACTTCTCAAACCAAAAGGAACTGTTTGCTATAATAAACTATTCCTTCTTTCTATGCTATTCCTTCTTTTTATGGAAAAATACTTCTGGCATTTCAGCAAGGTATTGCCAGTGTGAAATATTTTTGTCCATTGTGAGAAGTAAAAATGAATTGCTAATTGTAGTAACTTTTTTTTTAATGGTTGTGTTATATAATGGAAATACATGTCTACATATGGAAAGAGATTTTAGAATAATTGCAAAACATTTTAGTACAAACAATAGCAAAACAGCTGTGGGACTATCAAGCCCTTTAATTATATGGAAGAAAAGAGAAAAACATTAGAAGTTGCATGCAATGTCTGTTTTCATTCTATATTTCTTTTGACAAAAGAAGGCTATTTTGAAAGGATTTGATTATTCAGCTTGTAGGTGTTATAGTAGACAGACAACCAAAAGGCAGTTTGTCTTTCTAGAGAAATTCTGGTTATCAATCATGTAATGCAGACCAATTAAAAATATTTTAAAGTTGTTCAGGTCCCTTCATTGCAGTCATAATTCAATCAGTAATGAAATAAACTGATAAACAAAGTCAATAAGAAAACGTCTCACACTGAAACTAAATTGCTACTATCACAGTCCCTGTTCAAACCTCTGTTTCTGGTTCCTCTTCTGATCCACTGCAATGCCTGGCCTGCACCTGTGACATGTTTTACAGAGTAGTTGATTTCCAAAGTGCCTTGATGGAAACCAAGGGATTTAGTGAGCAACTAACAAATTGCCCCATGTCTCTGGATGAGGGGTGCATAGCTATAGGGAAACAGCAAGAGTATCTCCCTGTGGAGCTATCCTGGATGACGCAGGTTGCCAGCTTGTTTTGCAGATGGATCAGTAGTCACAACAGTATGGTTCTGGTGTCCAGGTGTTCCAGTGGGTTTTTTTGGGAGTTGAGCCAGAAGCCTATCTTTTCTAAGAAAAGAAAGTGATAATGAGTCATTCACAGATGTCTCAAACACACTTAGAAGCTAAATGTCTTCCTACTGTAGTAATAATAACATGATATTAAGAGGTGAAGGCCATCAGCTCAGTCAAATGGAATTAAAAAAGAGTCTCATACTTTCTTTTTCCTTTCCCTTAAGTATTATTTATTACTTAGCAATAGCAACCATGATGGGCTAAATGCTTTCTTGCAGCCATAATATCTTGGTCTCAGCAAGGAGCGCGTAATTTGGCAGATGGATGTTGCTGAGGAATGAGTGCAGAACGCAGGCAGGGTTTTTCTGATGAAGTGATGAATATTAGTTAAATTGAAATAGTGGTATCAGTGCTGGCTTCATATAGCCTGACCTTGCCCATTCAGTGTGTTTTCTTCTTTGTCCTTCTTGTCTGCTTTGTTTCCATGACTTGTTTTCGGCACTAAATGAAAGAGCCTCATAGAGCTGCTCTGTGTGTATCTCCCAGTTAGCTGTGCACAAAGCAGTGGGACTCCAGCACGGCTGCAGGTGAAGCCTCCACCATGGCAGCAGCCTCTGCCCTGCTGTGGAGGATGCAAGGTCCAGGTAGGGAAACACCTGCTAGCAAAGAGTGGCCTGATTGCTCAGATGCAGCTGTTGCCAGCTGCTGCTGTAATTTCTTCTTGCATGTTCCTGTAGCAGGGACATCTTCATGGGCAGGAATGTCAGAGGTTGCCAAGGGAGCATGGCTGATTTTCAGGGTACACCAAACAAGCCTGCAAGGGACAAAGAAGAGCACAGTGAAAGAAGAAAGGGAGTCCTCTCAGAACATCTGCAATGCCACTTAACAGAGGCAGTAAGAAGCAGTAATGAGAGATGGAGAAAAGGAAAAACTGGAGTTCTGTCCTACCATCTTTAAGGCCTGTAACGTAAGATGAGGGAATTTGGTGTGAAATGACAACTTTGGAAAACAGACCTGGTGAAAGGAGGATAATCAATGCTGCCATATCAGCTTTATAGGAAAGATGTGAGTGACATTCAGTTGTAAGGGAGTGGTGCTGTACAGGAAGAATTTTGTAAAGCACAACAGCATAAAAATGTTATGGCAGAAAAGCAGATCCATGGAACCACTGTGGGCAGAAATCTTGTGCTCTAATGATAATGCAGTGCTAAGATTGTGTTACCAGCCCCCTGCTCAGACCTGAAATAGTGCTCAGGAAATGTGAAATGAGAACAGGGAAGCTGCAAATTCAGTACAGGCAGCAACAGTGAGACATTTCAGCAGGTGCCCTGTAGGGACTGGATTGGTGCCTTTTCATGATGAGAAAAAGAGAGGATACATCCAGATGTGCAAAGTGGCTGCCTCCTAGAACACCTGGTGCATCCAGAAAGGTGTTACTCTGGATGTGCTCCCGTGTGGTGCACTGGAGCTGCTTGGTAACTAATGACTGCCATAAGATCACATTGAGCTCTACAGCTGAAGAGAGCGAAATAAACACATGCAGAACATGGTCATTTGATTTTAAGTACAGGATCTTCAGAGCAAGCAGACAACTGGACCACATACACTTAAAGAGTTATTCTAAAAGGCCTATAAGCCTCCTGAAGGCTATTAACAATACAGGTATTTTAATAAAGTTATCAGAAGCCCCCACATATATCTCAAAGTAAAAAAAAGAGAATACTAAATCATGCTCAGGAGCTTACCTCAGTAGATAGAAACCTCACTGGAGGACACTGTAACAAAGTGGCCAGATGCTGGAAACAGGAAAGCCTGCTCAAATGAACAGTAGAGGCAAGTCCTTAAAACATGACTGGCCAAACACAAGCAGGAAATTAAAAATCTCATAAAGAATGAGAAAAATGCCTTACAAAAGACTCTCAAGCTGTTGACAAAAAGCTCCTTAGTACATCAAACCCAGGAAATCAGTGAGACTACTTGACAGCAGCAGCATAACTGGGGGCACTCAGTGGAAAGCCTGGGCCAGGGATGGTCAGTGAATTCTTTGTGTTGGTCTCTGCTGCTGAAGGTGCTGGGAAGATCTTTCACAGGAGTTTCTTATTTTCTGTGGGATGATGGTGGTGTGTTTTTTTCTTTTTATTGTGTTTTGTATTGGTGGCTGTTTGTTTTTCAGCAGGTGAGTCAGAGAAAACAAATCAGCCTGGAGTGAGTATCGAGAAGCTGTGCTGCTGCATCATCCCATCCTTGCAGGAAGCTGGTGGGCTGTCAGTGTAAGTCCTGTCCATAAATTTGGTTCTAGAGGGTAACCTGGGAATTACTGACCAGTGTGTCTGATCTCCATATGTGGGGGGATAGAATGTAAGAAAATATAGTGCAGAAGGTAATCTCACCCCTGAGGAATTGCAGCTGTACTAATTACCAGAGATTAGGAATAGGCCTGCCCTTAACAGACCACAGCTGTGTCCGATAAGGATGAGTGCTATAAAAGAGTGGGTTAGCTGGTTGAGAAACAAGCCTGGAGTGTTTTGTCTGTGCTGTGAAGAAGGAGGAGTCAGTGCTGCGAGGAGATGCCCATGAGACATCACTGAGAAGGTATGGGAGCTTTGCAATAAGATGACAGCATCCAGACTTGTGAGCTGGTAGCATCTGTTTTAAAGAATAACACTATTCAATATGTGGCTAATCATAAGTACCAGGTCCTTGCAATGTGAGCAGCCTGTAGCCCAGAAAGCCAGCTGCCTCCTGGGCTGCGTCACAGGTAGTGTGGTCAGCAGGCTGAGGGAAGGGATTCTGCCCTCTGCTCTGGGGAGACTCCACCTGCAGTGCTGCATCCAGTTTTGGAGTGCTCAGCACAGAAAAGACGTGGACCTCTTGCAGCAGGTACAGATGAGGCCATGAGGCTGATCAGAGAGCTGGAGTACCTGCCTTCTGAAGACAGGCTGGGAGAGTTGGGATTATTCAGCCTGGAAGTGAAGGCTCTGGGGAGACTTCTTAGCAATGCTTCTGTATTCACTGGGGGTTTATAAGAAAGAGGGGCACAGACTTCTTAGTAAGGTGTTGCAATAGGACATGTGGTATTGATTTTAAAGTAGCAGAGGATAGACTGAGACTAGAGATGAGAGCACTGGTGAGGCTGTGCCTCGAGTTCTGTGTCCAATTCTGGGCCCCTCACTTCAAAAAGGATGTGGAGATGCTGTAACATGTCCAGCAAAGCACAGCAAGGCTTGAGAGCCATCACTTGTCTGATGGGAAATGGCTGAGGGAGCTGGGCTTGTTGAGTCTTGAGGATAGGAGGCTCAGGGGACCTCACCACTCTCTAGAGCCACATGGAAGGAGGGTGGGGCGAGTTGGAGGCTGGTCTCTTCTGCAGTGGAAGGACCAGAGGAAATGGCCTTAAGCTGAGATGGAAGATTCAGATTAGATATGAGAAATTTTTTTTTTGCTGTTAGGGTAGTTGGGTTGCCCAGGAGATCATGGAGTCACCGCCCTGGAAATGTTTAAGGCACTGGGTAATACAGTTCTGGATCTGGCAGGGAGTAATACAGTTTAGTGGTTACGGTGGTGGTGCTGGACTGAGAGTCAGACTGGGTGATCTTAGAACCATAGTCATCAGGGTTGGAAGAGAATGTTAAGTTAGCACACGTAAGGGGATGGTAGAAAAACGGAATGTACAACTGTTCACACAGTCCTGAAGTCCTTCAGTCCCCAAACAAGGGGACTTTTGAGGAAATTAGGGCCATTATTGCCATTTCTTTTTGAGTCTTGAAGTTTGGGAAGGGAAGAGAGCATAAAGTGGGAACAGGTCTATCAATGTATGTCTTTAGTTCATCCTCTGTGCATATATTAATTAACTAACAAATAGAGAAACAAAACACAAAGTTGTGCTACTGGACCTGCGAACTTGAGAGAAATATACTTCCTATTAGTCTCTTCCTTAAATGACTTTTTAAGAAAAAAGATCCTGAACACCAGCCAACTTCATTGTAGCGAACTTTATTGCAGCTAATTTTATGTTCTTTTCAGAAATCAAACTCTTGCAAATGAAAGTGATATTTGTGTTGATTCATTGGGACTATGGTGCACTGTGTGCATAAGCTTAATTGCAGAAATATTGCTACACAAATACTATTAAATATTGACCACAAATATATGAGTTTGTAGCTAGAAAGTGTGTTTTTAATTCACTTCTGCTGGCGTAATTTTCTTTCCTTTTCTCCCTTAGGCAGTGGTGTGATTTGTTTATAACATTATATGTGGGTCCCAAAACCACCTCATTGAGCAAATAGTTAAAGCAAAATTGACATTACTTGTTATAAGTTTGATACAGAGGATTCTGTTTCTTTTATTAATGTGAGTATCTGTAAAATGCCTAGGCAAATCATCAACAGTAAGTCAATCTTCTTTAGCTGTTAGAATATGGCTTTTCTGTGGAAAAATATATATAAATAAACTGAATTCAGGGTGTTTTTCAGAGCCTGGGTCTGACTGACTTGCCTGATTTTGTCATGTGAGGAGACCCATGGACCTGGTTTCTTTATAACTGTGTTTGTATATTTTTTTTTGTCTTGCGTGAGTCTTTCTATTATGAGAAAAAAGTCAAAATCTTGGTTCTTCTAAAGTGAAATTGAAGTTTTAATTTTGGAGACCAAACTAACCAAAAGCAAACAAAGCATCCTCTCTAATGTTTCAAATAAAGTTAGCTTTCATTAAAAGTATGTTGATTCTCTTAAGAGCTTGTGCAAAAAGATACTTTATATGGAAAAGTAGGCTGGATAGATCCCGAATGCTAATAGGACCTTTATACTATCTGTGATGTTCTAGGTAATTTTATGTAAAGCCTCTAAAGTTGCCCTTTGATTACAGTCAATAAGAGGCCAAAACCATTTGTTAGCCAGGATAGACAGTGCTCAGGGATGTGTGTGATGGCTGCACTGCTATTAGGTCTGTCTGGTACCTTTGAGGCTCTTGGAAAGATATCTTGTAAAACAGGGAGTAAATAGAAAGTATTGAGTATTAATATGGTCATTTTCCTGGGTGCCCAATAGCCTTCAAGTCATAAAAATGAGTAATAAGTTTTGAAAGAAAATAATTAATACGTACAGTTTCAGAAATTACTCTGTTAATGGGTGTTCTCATCAATTAAACTTAATGGTCTGAAAAGTGTTATTGATTGCTTTGATGTTTTATCTAAACACACACAGAAAAGGGGGAAAAAAGTGATTAGTTTGATTTTATTTGGTGGCCATTTTCATGCCTGTCTGTAGTGTGAGGAATGCTGAAAGAAAGTTGTATCAGTCTTTTTTTAGTCTGTGAATCTGTTTGCTCATGTAGTATGGAATGAGTGGGCCTGGCTGCTCTGTGCAGGAGAGACTGATAAGATCATTTTAGGGAGATCTAATTATTCCTTGAACTGGAAACTTTCTTCTGCTGCATGGCTGAGGGAAGCTTGCACACATCTTATGTACCATTACAACCGGTTTATTAAATGAGAGATCTGTGTGACTTGAAGATCAAGTACTATATTATATGTACTTAGTATCCATAGGGCTTACTTTGACTTCATTATTTACTTGCTAGACTTGATAATTTTTTAGGAGATATTGGGTAATTCCTGTTCTTCTATTCCTTACTTCTCTTCCCCCCCCCGATTTTGTTAGGTGATCCAATCAGAAAGTGGGTTTGGGTAGTGATAGGTAAGGGGATGATGTGGTGTGGCTGCCTCCTGTGTTTGCTTTGCTGTCTCACTGAGTTTGGGGGCAGGCAAAAGCACCAGTATCAGTGACTGAAGTTTATTCAGTTCATTCCTTCTGGTCCACAGACCATGCCAAGGTTGGTTGTCATCTTGTGCACAGGATTGAAAAGCTACTGGAAGGGTAATGGTGACTAAAGCTACAGGAGGTATTTGTAAGCCAAACTTACATGTCAATATATTTATGTGGAGGCATGTTTGTAAATGGTGTATCTTTATCTGTGGTAACAGTGATTCATCATGTGCCTTTTTTCCACCTTTTACTTTATGCCATGTCACCACCTCAAGCTGTTGGTTCCTTCATGTGCAGGAAGGGGCTGGAGGTTGCATTTTGATGTTAAACATTACATTTTTATGAACACTGTTATAATCTTTAATCAATTTTAGTTACCTGATTCTTCAATTTCACGTTTTATTCCTGGTTTCTACTGTTACTGCCATTTACTTGGCAGGGACAGGAAGAAGGTGACTGTTTCATCTAATTTATAACTTAGAAACTCATTTTGAGAAATAAAAAACATATGCAGCTGATTTCTGGGGTTAACTGTATGGCCCCGACAACTATCTGTCTCTTTCAGGAAATACTTAATAGGCTTAAAATCATGTGGTCTAGACTTTTAGGATTTTTATTTTTAATTCTGTATTTGGGAATATAGACGAGAAAGTTAGGACTATAGATTAATTTGACTGCCTCTTTTTTAGTGCATTTGAGAAGTACTTGACAAAGCTTTCTCCTGTATCTATTTAGAGATTGGGTTTTTGGAGTAGAAGCTCTGACAAGTGTTGACTTGTGTTGGGTATGTTATGCTATCCCTGCTAGAACTGAATTTCCAGGTATTTCCCCACCATTAATTTACCTGTACTTTTCCATCTGGTATAAAAATCTTATCCATCCCCTGTCAAGAGACCAAAGTAGAGCAATTGAAACCCCAGCTCTGCTCTGCTGTGACCACAGGGAGGCAGCTGCTGAGCTAAGTCAGAAGGTGCTCATGTTCTCCCTGCCAGGAGGTGCAAGAAACACTGAGTGACACCCACTCAGTGATTTCTGGCATTTCTCCTTCCTAAATGCAAGGCTACCTGCCAGCATCTCTTCCTTCTGAGCTATGATGCTGTGCCCTTGTGGTTGTGAATAGTCCCTGGCCTCTGCTCAGTCTTTGTAAAGAGCTGCTTTAAAAACAATACCTTGTTTGTTGCATTCATCTCTGACTTACAGCAGTGACCTTGCTTATACCCACATCTTGTTACAGTTTATTTTCAAAAATCTTTGATCTTCTTTGGTACATCTGTTGGAGGAGCACTAGTCTGCAGACTCATGCATAGGATATATCAGTTGCCAGCTGAAAATACAGAGCAAGACTGTGCTAGCTTGTTCTTGTAGTTCAGAGTTAATTCATTACCCTGAAGATTTTACAGCCTGGAAAGGCTTAATTGAGTGGCAGTAACCATAGCCAATGTTTGTCCTTATGCCTTTTGCCCCTGCTCCCAACCCTGAAATATGCTTGATACTGACTTCTCTTTTCT